TGTCAGGACCTTTATCTTCCCTATGCAGGGCTGGGAACTCTCTTCTGATCTCTGACCTGCTCTGGGTTGTAGTGAGGTTACAGAGTAGTCTAGGAGAATGAGACTTTTTTTTTTATTAGTTTGATTTCTGTGGGGTGCAATTAAAGAAATTCTATAATTGTTTTTATTGATAAAATGCTCCATTTTTATTGTAGCAGCATCACTAATTTACTAAATTGTTCCCTTCTTGCAAAGTAATAACGCTACTCTTTTGAAAGTAGCTACTTCAGCTACAGCTGCAAAAGGCACTTGCACCCTACTCTACTCCACAACCACTCATTTCTTTCAGTAACAGGAAAAAAAACCCAAATGCTTAGTATAACACAGCAGCTTAGTTTATTTGGAAATACGTTGGACTTCACTTTGCTGAAGAGATTCAGTAGGCTTAGGGGAAGGTACAGTTAGGTACTATGTGCTGGTAGAATGTGAGCAATCAGTACAAATAGCAGGTGAGTGCTTTTGTTTTTCTCTGGAGACCAAGATCCTTGATCGATTATAGCTGTGTGTACCTATCCCAACCACTTCCTAGAGAAATCGGTTTTTCAAATCCACCTTAAAATTCCTTCTTTTTCTGATACCTTGCCTTCTGGCTCGATTCAGACAGTGGTTAACAGCCAGAATTTCCAAAAGCAATTTTGAATGCTTCAGTTGACCGCTGTCCCCGTTTGCAGACAGTAACAGACATCTGAAAATCAGGTCTGCTGAGATGATGTCAGTTCAAGGTAGCCTCCTAAAAAATATTTGGCCGAGACTTTTCTGCTGACTTTACCAGTTTCACAAATGAGGATTGTACACTGTGCCCTCTTGGTAGGGTTTTAGCCTTCACACTGCTTACTGTTGTTCATAGGATCAGAGAAGTTGAAGTCTGTCACTATTTGGGAATACTCAATATTTTGGTCTCTCTTTCAAAGAAAAGGACTAAAGTTTCCACACTTCTTAATTCCTTCATAAGTTTCACTTCTTTAATTACAGCTATTGTTTTTGAAGTAAAACATAAGGGCCCTGCTACGTTCTGGATGGACGAGGTTAAGCCAGCATTGAACGCAGCTGAGAATCTGACCTCAGTCTAACAAATCCTGGGCTTTATGGCTAAGCAGTGTCACTGACTCCATTTCGAAAGGAACTGCTGATGAACCACAAGCAAGTTGCTCACACCTGCCCAATAAATCAGAACTGAAGAGTTTGCTAATTAACAACAAAACACAAAAAACCCTTTCAGCCCAGCCCAAGCTAGAGGTTCTGAAAACAGAGCTCACTGATTAATATTGCTGTAGATCAATTCCCCTTGGGGCACTGGCTGCCAGTGCTCATTGTATTTGAATGTTGCATATTCATACTTGCTGTACTTTTTCCATTTTATTTAGGAGCAAGGACTCTGCATAGCCTAGTCATGAGTGCTGAATCCTAGAAATGTCCATCTCCATCTTCTGTTAGTGAAATATTTAATCTCAGCCTACGTTCTACTGGTGAAACTCTACCGATGTCTCTTTTCTTCCCAAGAGACTTTAGACCTCTCCTTACTTATAGGAACTCACACTACATGGTCATAATAGCTGATCCTCCTGAGGCTTAAGTTCGGTGTTTCACAAGTTTTGATTTTTTTTTTTTTTTTTTTTCCAAACTGCGGTTTCACTTTGCCTTTGTTAATGACATCTAACATCTGCATCTTATCTTAAGATACTAATAATTCTTGATGTCTTAACTCAGTACCAGCAAATTGAAGAGGCTGCATCTTTGGTCAGAGTATCTGAAGTGCGTCATGTCTTGGTGGAAAGCTTTGCGTTTTCTCCTCCTTGATCCTGGAGCCCTAAGGAACTTGCAGTGACACAGGTCCTTTCTCAAGTATGTGTGCAAAACTGAAACAAATGATTCTGGAGATGAAAATGCTCTTCACTGGATCAGGCCAATGCTATGGATTTGCATTTTGTACAAGAGTACTGATTTACTTGAGATGTATATCTCCTTGAACCTTAACAAAGTACTCTTTAAAAATTATTACTGTTTATCCTTTTTGGATAACTGTTTATATTGGTATCCCCTCCTTTCCCCTCCCCGTAATAACTGTGGTCTCTTTGTATAGAAGCACGCATTTCACTTAGCTGCCTTCAGAAAATGGAAGTTCCTCTTGGAAAACTTTTTAAGGAACTCTGTGCTATCTGTTTATTATTTCTAAGCCTGAGATTGTTTTTGCAATAGATCATGTTCATTTATTTAGTCTTTACACCCATTACAACACATTTATATGGAATACCATCGCATAGACGTACCACCTACTGACAGCTAATATAAAGATATTTAGATTTGACAAGACTTAATCTGCATAGAGACCAGAAATGCATTAAATAGTGAAACACAGATAACACTGTGTTTCCTTTCATTTTAAACACTTTGTGTAGATGGTGACCTCTTCCCTACCACAGATACCTACTTTTGTATTTATTATATTTGTCTTGTGGTCAATTTGGGTAGTTAGTGTCTTTCTATGCTTGGTAGCTTATATTTCTCATGGTCATTAAATGTGATTGACTGATAGCTGTTCTAAGCACTACAATTAAGTTAACTGTTGTTTCTGTGTCCATGTTTTCTTCCGGTCTTCCAGCAACCTACCAGTGATACATAGTCTCACACAGCATTTAAGTGTTGTTTTAATATCGGACAACACTTTCTGAGTGTTTACCTCTGACTCCGTGCGAGGTGGAGGCCTACAACAGAAATATATCATTGTAGCTTTGGGGTGCATCGCATATTTGAAGACTACTGTGGCTGTGCTTGCTAAAGCTTTACCAAAGACTTATTTTCCCTAGTACAAGCAATATTTACCTGAATTAGGTAATTCAGAAGTCATATGGGACATAAAAGTTATATCCGCTTGCAGCATCCTTGTCTCTGATATTAATTCTTTAGGAAGATTGGAAGTGAAACTCTACAGCAAAGTAGTTGAACATCACACTAGTTTGATAAATATTTTGTATACAACATCAGTTATTCTAAACTTGCGTCATCTACTGGTTGCGTTATATACAGCATCGTTACTTGTGGCTTTTGTTTTGAAAAGTAGCCAAAGTGGGATATTCCAGCAAATGTCTGAGTGCTGTTTGACAAGAGGAAAAGTGTATAACAAATTCTTACAAAGTGATGACCTCTTAAAATTGCTGTTTTACACCTTACTTGGTGAAATGTGCCCTTTTCTCACTTTCTTTTATCGCTGGGTGTTTTTTTTGTGATCTCTATTACAGATCTTTTCTGGTCACTGGATAGCCACTATATAGGTTTCATTTGTTTTTAGGCATGCGCATTGAGTGATCCATGCAACAGTGAAGAACCTGCCATTGTACAGTCCATGTGTTACTGTTGTATCACAGTTGCTCTTGTTTCAGTTATCAGGATGATGTTAAATCCCCTCACCCTACAATTTCATTCAGTGAAAACACTGAAAAGAAGACAGATAGGGTAGAGAGCCCAGAGCTACATGATGCTGCATTGTGTGGTCCCACAGCAATCTTTAATAATAGCCAATCCTGCTTTGGCAATTGTGGGCTTGCTTGGAGGAGGTTCTGCCTTCTTTTCTGCTGGAGTACCTGCAAAATTCAAACCAGGACACCGTTAAAACTAAGGCAAGTTCAAACTGTTTCTACTTACATCTGGCTTACACCAAGAATACAAGCCTGCCTTCTAGAAACTTTCTAATGCCAGCTTGAACAATATATCTAAGAGTTTGGTAGAAACCAAGGTGTGTGGATTCAAAGTGCTCAGGAAGACTTATCTCTTCAGGTGAGGGAGTTGCGAGAGCCTAGGGAATTCAGACATCTTACTGGGATGTAAACTTCTTTTACCTTGTTCAGTTCAGGTGCCCCAGTTCACAGCTGCAGGGTTAGATAACAGGTCCTTCCGGAGAAAGCTTATTGTGTTTAAACCTCACCTACTAAGGAGTTAAAGATGAAAAAGAATATTGCTAGAGCTTACTCTTGTGAACTTGAATGTCCTAATTAGTAGAACAAGATTTAAAAAAAGGTATTTTTCAGGGTGAAAGGAATCTTTTTTATCACTAATACGGCATTTAAAATAAGTGTATAAAAGCAATGACATGAAGTAAACTAACAAGGGAGATGTGTCATGGTCCCTGTGACTAAAAGGGTATAAATAATTAGTGATGCATTTTAAAATGTCTCCATCAACCTTGTGCTTGAATTTCAGTCATTCCACATCCCTCTAGAAACTCTCTAGCAAGATCAGATCTGTACAAAGTGGCAGTATGTTTGGATATGAACTTTTTCAGCTAGTAGAACAACTGTACCTTCCAAGAAGGACATTGCTCTCATTTGATTGTTTCCTTGCCCAAGACCTCAGTTTGAGACAGGTCAAAATTAGTCTGTTAACTGTTAGAACTCCTCCTGTGCCTGTTCTGCATGCAAGTTGTTGATAAGCGCTTTCAAGGGATTGTGGAATCTGCGTAGTTCCTGAGAAATCACTGCTTTTGCAGTTCTGTCAGTTATAAGCAATTTGGGTTGAGGTGATTGAAAAACCCATTTATATTGGTAAGATGCAGGAAACTGGGGGCTGTTGTGGAAGTCTGAAGTCTCTTCTCTACTTCCCAGTTGCTTGCAGTGAAACAGACAAACCTGCTTTCAGACATCTTAGCCTATATCATAAGAGGCTTTTTCAAGTTATTCTAGGTGAAACCAGACGGGAAAACATGGTTGGCAACAGTAAACCCTATTACTTACAAAAGCAGGTTGTGGCAGTATGCATATTCAAATACACTTTGCATATTCAAAACATGCAAAGCAGTTTTAAAGCAGCCCTAGATGATTTGGATTCAGTATTAAGGGGATTTGGGAATCCCAATTCTAAGTGGCTGGAAACGGGGTCTGTCTTGTTTCAGTGTGATATAGTCAGGTTACGCTAGCCTTTGGCAGGAGCTGGGTGCCTGGCCCAACACGGCCTTGGAAAATGCCTTTCTTTTATCCAGCTGTTTTCAGAGGTGGTTTTCCTATTGTTCCTGTAGGGTTTTTTGGGGGGGTGGGGGGGGGGGGGGGGGTTATTTTGTCTAAGGGTTTTAACTTGGTCCGAAGGAATTCAGCCATCTCCTTGTCCTCTTCTTTCTCTCTAGAGAAAAAAGGAAAATAAATCCGTGATAGAGATAACATTTTTCTCTGTAAATAGAGTAAAAACTAGAGTAGTTTGGATCAAATCAGTAGGAAAAAAATTCATTTCTTTACCTTTTTTTAAACTTTTTGTCTTGCTGCTCCTTAGAGCACAAGATATTTGCCCGAATGAATTTAGTAACAAACCTCATAGAGTTCAGAGAGAATTTTTCACCAAGGCTCTTCGCTTGTCTCTGACATAGACAGTATTGGGTTTGCTATATTCCTTAGTCAGCAGATTTTAAACCACAGTGTATCACCTATTTTAAGCTGGCTTTTCAAGTGCTTCACTGCACTCCCTCTAGGTAACAAAGCAAAGCAATCAATACATATGGGCTACTATACTTATTTTTAAAGGCCCACTTAGGTAAAAGACTGGATTTTATGATATTTTGCTGTTACAGCTTTTTCCAAAGCCAAGTACACTCTTGATTGCATGAAGGTGACAGGATTAGGCCCAAAATAAAGCTTACATGTTTCTAAACTTGATTGTATCTAATAATGATATTCCTGTGTTGGTTTCTTTGCTACTTCATTATTTAAACATTAACAATGAGCACACTGATTGAAAAGTATTTCACTTTTGTAGAGGAAAACCAGATTTCATTAGCAAGAGCTTTAAAGAAAGATACCAGGTTTTATTACAAATGTGAACTGGCACTAATATGTTCCCATCTGCATAGCAGTACATTTTGAGTGACCTACAGTTAGGCTGCTGTATTGTCTGGCTGCTGCTGAGTCTTTGCGATTTGAGCTAGCAGTTGAGAGCACTGGATCCTGATACTAGCTCAGGCTTTTCGCCAGCTGCTGACTCCAGCAGCTCTCTTTGATCAGCTGCAGGACTCCAGCAAGCTTTCTTCTCTCCCATCCTTTGCCTGCTTAGAATTTAAGCCCTTTCGGTTGGTTGTTGTCATTGAGGATAAATGGATTGATGGAGCCTTGAAGTATTAATGTTGAAACAGAAGTAGGGGAAGTAATAGCAAAGCCCTGACTATTTGTAGGGTGTTGAGAACTCAGTGCAACAACTGGAATCTAGCTCTTTTGGGAGACCACAGGTTTCTCAGTAGGCAGCTTGCTTTCATCAGCTAAGATACTGAGATGAAACCATTCTGAACTTGCTTATGCTTTAGGTTAGGTAGACCTGTGTTAAAGATTGCATTCCCTTTTTTTGAGACGAGCAGGTGGTCTCAAAGGTGGGATGACAGTAGTAATAATGAATCACTAATGTGGTTATTTTTCGTATAAAAAGAGCAGATTTCAGATGTCTACAAATATGCCCCTCATAATTCTATTTCATGTCTACTACCCATGCCAAAAGGCTCCTTGCGAAGGCAGGCAGCAAAAATCCTTCTCTTTGTAATGGTAGATGCCCATTCATTTTCTGGTGGGAAGTAAGAGACTGTAACCCTATGTAGTCATGAGATGATGATGGCCGTTTATGGGATTAAGGAGCGACGTAAGTACAGCAATTCAATCTTAATGTTTTTCCTGTGGAACCAGGCAGAGGCTTTTAACTTGACAAGCTCTCTTAAAGGATTAATCCTCTCCTGTTAATGCTAATGCAAACTCTGTCACTCACTTCAGTGAGTGTAGAATTAGACCTGTGAAATATCTGAATAAATTTGGTTACTTCTAACTCTTACCGTAATCTCTCCACCTCTGCATCATCTACAAGAAAATCCCTTTTTTGTACCAGTTTATGGATTTTCTGAATAAGTTCATCCTCTCTTTGCTTTTCAATCTTCGTTTTTTCTTTCTCTGGTCAAAAACAGAAAAAAGAGACTGTTATTTTGCGTTCTAGGGAGCAGGGGGAGAACCTGCAGATACCTAAGAACTGCTTGCTCATGATGTCAGCTCTTTAGACCTGAATCGCACTTTACATCATGAAGAGGATGATAACATCAGAAATCTCCAAAAACTATTTCTAGAACAAATGATCAAAAATGCTTTGGAGAGAAACAAAGAATATTAGTTAATTGCTGCAAATCTGGAGGGCGCTGGGGCAAGCACATGGAGGACCTACGCCACCTTCACTTGCCCTAGCCGTGCCCCACACCAAGTCGCATGACAGGAACAACGGTGCTGTGCCTCATCATCCCCGTTTAGAGCATGGCGGTGCCCATCCCGCGTTCCTGTACTCAGGAAGCTGATTTCACTGGAGCCTTCCAGACTGTAAGCCAGGGAAACTGCTGTTTTGGAGAAGAGGGGGAGGTGAGGGGGAGTCTCTTCCATCAGACAGCTGTTCTAAATCAAATACATGGCAAGCTCTGATCACTGTCTCTCTCTTCTATTTGTTGCCTGTTGTGTTTGATCAGCTCACTAGCGCGGACACTCTTCATGGGGCCTACCAAGCCTACCTTTAATTAGATTAGATTACAAGACGCTGCTTTGAGTTTATTTTCCTAATTTTTTTTTTTTAAGAGTTCTGGTAAGAAAACAATGTAGTCTACTTCATGAAAATCTCTGGTAGAAGCTCCCCTTGACCTTCAAGGTTAACAAGACCAGGCTAAAAGGACCCAGTTCTGCTCCACAGTTCCTGACCGCTCTGGCTGTTGACTAAAACTATCGTGAATGTTAGGGATTACAGAGCTGTAGTTTAAGGTTATAAAGCAAGCATAGTTAAGACAGATTTCAAAGCTTCTGCAATGTTACAGTTCCTCATTCTGAGGAATGCTGGATTTGCAGCAGAAAAATGAAAATGCTTAGAAATCACTACTCTTGCCTTGCTTTGCCTATTATGACTATGGAGCAAAGGATCTCCTCCTCCCACTACTGAAGGTGGGAGCTACTTTCTACTTCTCTTCCATCTAGCCTCTTCCCAGACTGAGACGTGCTCTTCCATCCCATCCTTCAGGAAATTGGCTGCTAAATGTGTCTCAAATTGGAAGAAAGTACTGATTACTCTCTGTATCCTAACACCTGATCCCCTGTCAGCTGAAGTCAATTAAACTCCATCTACTGAATCCAGAACAATAAGTGTCTATACAAATTTGTATGCTGACAGAAAAGTCTGACTAAGATAAGTTATCAATGAACCCATTTCTGGAAAGCGTTTTCCCGTGATGGGCCCATTCAATGTTAGCGCTCGGTTCAGTGTGAATGCCTGCAGCTTCTGGCTCTTCATTAAGAGAAAAGTGTTTGCTGTGAGCCTGCCAAAAGGTGGTGCTGCTGGAACTGCATATTCATAGTTCTTAGGATTGCTGAGAGTTGCACAGTGCTAAAGAGAAGCTGTTGTCTGTGCATCTCTGCTTAAGACTTTGTGAATGGAAAATGGTTTCCAAAAGTTAATTTAAAAAATTAAGTCTAACTGTAAATTAAACCTATGGCTAGGAAAGCTGCAGACTAGAGAAGTAAGGCAAGGGGAATCACTCACGGATATCCTCTAGCATTCATAATCCTTTACAACACCATTTAAATCAATAATGTAAGAATCTAATTAGTAATTAAAAACTGTATATAAAGAAGAAAAAGGAAAAAATCATGAACACACTTGTTAGGTGCAAAGGAACATAGAAAACATCTCATTCAAGTAAGAAACGCCGCTGTATGGACTCTGAGAGGAAAAATGTAGATATGTTTCCTGTTTCATGACTGAAATGCCTCTCCTTTCTGGGGAGGAAGCTGCTGTTTTAAGTTGCACAGTAAAACATGGGGATAGGATGAGAATGGCCAAAGGAGGGAGTCAAAACCTGTCCTTACTAGCTGGGCAACAGCAAATTATTTCTGGTAGGTGCTAGAGACCATACAGTGACATCTGGTGTAAATGCCCTTTCCTGGGTCTCTTAAGGGATGCATGTGACCAGCTGTGTTGTGAATTGCTTTTTTCCCCTGAGAGACCTTTTCTTATATTCATTTCTTGAGGGACTGACTTAACAGATGCCCCACAGCAACATTCAGCATACTAAAAATATCTGTGGTGTTGTGGCTTGCCTCTCCGCTCACTTGCTCCTTATCTTGGAACAGCCAGAGCAAACTGCATGTGTTGGGAGGTGGAGAGGCCTCCGCACTGCTTGGCTGTAAAACCTGAAGTCTCTTCTAGGTGCAATTCCACTTGCTAACTCCTATATACTCCTACAAACTGTGCTGCAGAATTGTTTCAGGAAACTTCATTGCAAGGCTGGCCCCAAGGTACTATAATTGTTGCAGGCCTGTGACCGTAATGATCTGTCAGCTCGCAGCCTGCTGGAGCAGAAAAAAATGTCCCTACTGCACTTAGCAGTTCAGCAGGGATTTAACAGGGCACACTCCTACGGTGAGGAAATGCTCCATTCCATACAAATAGTTATGAGCTTACTAAATCAATTCACAGGAAGATACATGTCTTGGGTTCTGCGATCCAGTGGATGTGCTCCTAAACAGCATACAAATGCTAACTGCGCTTTTAATTTAAGGTGGAGTGAAATGCAAATACAGGATTCATCTCTGCTGGAAGTTAACTTTTACTGAAGCTTTTTTTTCCCCTCTCCCCGCTCCTCTTTTTGAAGGATTCAGGGCAACTCTCATATCTACTGACAACTTCTCAACCCAAGTTATGACTGAGAGGAAATCTATTCCCTCTGGTAACGTAAGATCACCAGAGACTTTGAGGCACTGAAAAGCTGCTGAGATTGAGTGAGTGGCATGCCCTACTCATCAGACTTGGGGGTACTGTC